TTGATCATTATAAATCTGACTATTTCTAAGTCTTTTTAAAGCAGCTTGACTATCAGAGAATATTTATATCTCTTTTAAACAATTTCCTCTTTTATGAGATTTTATTTCAATGAGTTTGAAAGCTTTCACTATTATAAATAGTTCAGCATCAAAGACTTCACATTCACAGTCTAGATTTCAGAAATCTGAGATAAAATTGATATTATCTTCAGTATAAGCAATGCCTGTGTCTAATCTATTCAAGTTCTCATTTTTTGAGTCATCTGAATAAATCAGAATAGAGTCTTTTATATTAATTGTAGAAATTCTCTTCAAATACTGTTCATATTCTTTCTCTTTTGATAGTTCACTTATTTATAAGTGTATAAGAGATTCAAGCTTTTCTCTTCAGAGAGATAACTTCTCATGATTAACTTTTTCAATATTTAAAGAAGAAAATTGATTTTTAATCAGAGAGCATAGTCTGTACAGTTGAGATGATATTTTCTTTGAAGAATTATTTTCATTTCAATCAAGAAATCTATTTCAATCCAGTTCATTTTCAGAGTTAATTAATGAAAATGAAGAAGAGACTCTTTCTCTAATTATATGATTTGAGCTCATCTTTACAACTCTCAGAGCATAGTTCATACAGGCCTTTTTAAATCTAATAGCAGAAGAAGGAATTGAAGCTTCAATTTTCATTGCTTTAATAGAAGATGATTTGAATGCTCTCAGAATTCTTCTCAAGGCTCTGTTTTACAGACTTTGAAAGAGTTCAGTGAAATTCTCTTGATTATTTCATCAAACTTGAACTTTATAATCAGCTACTGATGTAATACAGGCTATATATAACTATCTCATAGTCTGAAAGAATAGACCTCTCTCTGTATTTGATAGTCTGATTATGTTATTCAATAGTCTTTCTGCCTTGACAGTTCTTTGTTGTATGTGATATTTAAAATTCAACTTGAAGTTTAATCATACTTCTAATTATTTGACATTTACACTGGGTTTAATCTCTCTATTTAAAAGAGTTAGAGATAGTTCTTTCTTATTGAATTTAGAAAAGAAATGAATTAACTCAGTTTTATTCATATTAAATTGAATTTAATTGATATCTGCTCTAACAAAGATTTTCTTTGCAGCTTCTTCAATTACTTTCAAATTCTCTTTGATAGTTTTTAAGCTGTAGACTAGATCAATATCATTTACATAACTCAGAGATTGCACTATTCTCATATTTCTATTTTTAAATAGATATGCAGTGTATATTGTAAATAAAATGAATGAGATTAAAGATCTCTGTGATACTTCTATTTTTATCTCAGTCTTGTCTTATTTCATTCCATCAAAGAAGAGTTGTATAATTCTTTTAGATATAAAACAGTTAACTCATTTTATTAGAGAAAGTGACAGTTTTAATATCTTCAATATCTGAATTAACTTTGACTTTGAAACATGATCAAATGCTTCTTTTATATTAATAAAAACTGCAGTTGAGACCAGACTCTCATGCTTTGCTATTTAAATATTATGAACAACTGAGAGAACAGTGTCAATTACAGAACACTGTTTTCTATCTCTTATTTATTTACTGAATAAAAGAGAATCACTTATAGAGCTTATAAAAGATAGTTGAGTAACTATTATCTTTTCTAAAACCTTTTCTAGGCAGTTCAACAGAGATATTACTCTATATGACTTAGAAATTAAAGTTTTTCTATTAGGTTTTGCAAGAATCACTCCAGTGACTTCTCTTCAGCATTCAGAATGATATTCATTTTTCAAGAGATTGAAAAAGAGCTCAAAATATTCATTCTTTAAGTAGGAATATGTATTTTGAATAATCAAGTGATTAATTGAATCAGGACCTGCAGCAGTTTTAACAGAACTTGAGAAGATAGCTGACTCTAATTCATCTTGTGTAAGATCAGGCTATTCCCAGTCATTTTCATCAATGTAGTTGAGAAGTGATATATTCTCTTTCTCTGAATCTGAATCTGAATCTCTCTTCAATCTGTGACAGTGCTCATGTGTCTTGATAGTTCACAGAATCACAGAATATTTGAAGAGAAATAACATGATTAATTTTGATAAGTATTAAGAGAAGATGAAGACAGAAAAGACAGCTAGCAATGATATAATAATAATAATAATAATAATAATGATAATAATAATAATGATGATGATAATAATAATAATAATAATAATAATAATGAAACAGAGAGTGCATCAGAATATATTAATTAACTTATTAAATATAAAGAGACAAAGAAACTATTAATAACTTTCAGAGATATATAGAAACAGCTACAGTATTACATAGTAATATTATCTTTATTTAATATATACACTATTGATATTTCTTGTATACAGTTATTATATAATCAATATCAGAGATACATGCAGAAAACAGATCTTTATTACTAGAAAGAATAATTACAGTAATTCTCTATTTTTATATTATAAGAATAAGTTATTTTTATTTCTTTCTTCTCTCTTTTCTCTTCTTCTTTAACTCATTACTAAGTTCAAGCTAATATGAAAACTATTAAAATACTCTTAGAAACTCTTAAATTGAAGAGTATAGATTAATTAAAATTTAAATACAGATATATTAAATTATATTTAATAATACTAATTATTCATTCTTTTTTTAATAAAATAATAGTTATGTCTTCTCTTTCCTCTCTTAAATAAAACATAACCTGTGAAAAGTGAGTATCATATCAGACTATAATAATTAACACAGTCTCAGTATATAGAGCTGTATACACACAGCATATACTGAACTGAGAGACTGTGTGAATTACAAATTAGTAACAGTATCTCAGAGAGAGTCATACAGTGTGAAAAAGCTGCAACTCTCAGTTATATATATAGAGAGTGAATTGCTGCAGTAAGTGTATATACATTGTATAAAAGTAACACTTTTTAATAATACTCAGTTTCTGATATCATGAAAATAGAGTCTCTCTGTGAGATCTGTTTTTATCAGAAGTTAAGAGATCTTATATTCTTCAAGATCATCTTCATATATCTTATCTATGAAATTAATAAAGAAAATCATTGATTTCAGTGTTTTACTCTTGATATTATTCAAGTGATAGCAGAGTTCACTCTGATCATACTTTTTAAGTGTATATTTTCTAATTATTCATATTTATACAGATATATACTGATTATTTATTAAATAATATTAAGATAATAACTTATCACAGCTGTGTTACTCTTATTATAAGAGATATACAGTTAGTAATAAATATTATAAAGACTCTGAGAAGTAAGTATTTTAAGAATGCTGCAGCTCTGCAATCTTGATTTTTTTATTTTTATTTTTTATTTTTTTCTTTTTTTTGTATTTTATATTTTTTTTATAATTAAAATTATATGAATTATGATCTGTGTTCAGAAAAGTAATAATATTTGATAATACTCTCTATTAAATTTTCAACAAATGAGCACTATATTATAATATTATATAAGTGAGAAATAATTTCATAATTTCATTTAATATCATTCTTAATAATAAGATCAGAATGAAAATGTGACTAAGAATTTAAATATATTCTTTATCTAAGACTAGATTTTTATTTGAAAAGTGAATCTGAAATCTTTAATATTTAAAATAACATGATTTGAGATTAATGTGATGAATACAAATTATAATCAGAAGTAATACTTTTAAATAATATAATAACTGTAAAGTTTGATTCTGATCTCAGACATAGTTACACAGTCAGTCTACTTATAAAATTATTCTTTAAGAGTTGAGTATTATCTTTGTCAATTTAATTTATTCAATTTCTTATAAATAAGACTTAATCTCTGTTAACTTCTATAAGCAGTCTATTGAAAAACATGATATCTAAGATCTTATATTTTAGATAGATATAATCAGTTCTTATAGTAATCAGATATTTAATAAAAGTATAATTTAAGTCTTTTAACTTAGCAGTCATACTAATCAGCTTTTTAAATAGATAGATTCTATAAATAGTAGATCTCTCAGAAAAGTTATTCTCTATAATAGTTTATAAAGTATAAGTACATAACTTAAATTTCTTAAGTATAGTAAAATAAGTCTTGATCTACAGAATAATTGCAGATTATATGTAATTATATAATTAAAAATTGTATTCTTTTCAGAAATATTATATATTTATAGTAATATTTTTATTAAGATTATTATTTTTAAGTATATTATCAGTTTCTAACTATTCTATAGTTAAAAGAATTTCCTCTCTTCATATTAAATAGTTAATAAATTTAGTGAGAATTATTAATTCTTTAATAAGTTTTACTTAGCTTCTGAATTCTTTAAGAATTTTTATTATAATAGATATCTTCTCTTTCTATTAAAAATATTCTGTTAGATCTGCTTTTATCTTATTATTTAAAGTCACTTCTACTAATCTTTATTCACTCAATCTTATACTGAACTCTTGTAATTTCTAGTCTTATATAAGTCTTCTTACTTACTGAGTTATTATTATTTCAGTTACTTAAGTTCTCTGTATTATCTGATATCTCACTGATATCTTCAACTGAGTCTTTATATTTATTATTAAACTTATCAGACTGTTTCTCTGTGATTATTTCTCTCAGCTTCTCAGAAGCTGTCTTCTGATTTATTATTAATATTAATAATAATCTGTGATCTTACATCTGCTGTTCTGATGTTTTCTTGTTTCTCTGTCTTAAAGATATGTATTCTTGTATTAAGTCAGATATCTCTTCAGATCTTAGATTAATTATGAGTTCAATCACTTAATAAATCATCTAGACACACTTATAATGATGTATGAAGATATCAATTTGCATATTATTACAGTTCTTAAGGCTTGTGAAAGAGCTTCATAACCTCTTGAAGAATAACATAGTTATGTTGTGTGTGTGTAATCTATCTACACGAGTTACACTAAATGAATAGGTTGGGGTGGCACGTGACTAGGGTAGGTGTAGTAATCAAGAGCTCAGTCACCACCAGCACACTGCTGGTAGAAGAGCCGATCAACCCGGGACCCCCAACATGATTGTATTAATTAATTAATTTAAACGCTTTTTCTTACAATAATTTTTCTGTAATAATAGCTTCACATTAATTATTCAATAATTTTCCAGTTAATTTTTCTAATTTCAATTTTACGAAGTTATATTTATAATTCGGAGCTCGGCAAATCTTTCCGGATTGGGCCCTTATGAGATGTTCCCGCTTTCCCGCAAGGTCAGAATGAGTCCGCAAAACATCCAGACTGACTGTTTGTTCTCCGGCTTTCTGCTTTCCGCCAAACCTTCCATTTAATTCTGCATATAGCCTACTAGGTGCCTTCAGCTATATACAGACAATATGGACGCAGCAACGCGGCGGGTATTATCGAGCGGCGTGCGGTTGCACCTGCCAAACCACCTACTAATATCCAGAGCCGCTTCCCGCTCCTTCATTCCCGCAACCGCCACACTCCCCTCCACTACCAGCTCACTGTCCTCCTCTTCCTCGCCCAGACCCCGCGTATCAACATGTCCCAACCAAACTCGACACTTCACAAACACTCCCCGCCCCCTTGCGGGCGAAAATTCCTTTGGCTTCCCCTCCAGCGCTCAACCGGGGCCAACCACCTACTTCTCACACAGACAATCACTGCCCATGAACACGGTGATCAGGTTCGTGCCACAGCAGACCGCGTGGATTGTGGAGCGCATGGGGAAGTTTAATCGGATTCTCGAGCCCGGGTTGGCGATCCTAGTGCCGTTTTTGGACCGTATCGCGTACGTTAAGAGTTTGAAGGAGGCGGCGATTGAGATTCCGAGTCAGAACGCGATTACAGCGGATAACGTTACTTTGGAGTTGGATGGTGTGTTATATACGAGGGTTTTTGATGCTTATAAGGCTAGGTATCTTCCTTTTTGTCAAGATTCGCGCGTTCTCTTACTAAAGTTATATTGATATGAGGGGACGGTGAATTGCTGACTCTTTTTTCTTTTCCGCTACAGTTACGGGGTGGAGGATGCGGAATACGCCATTTCGCAACTTGCACAGACTACAATGCGATCAGAAATTGGCCAACTTACTCTGGATCATGTGCTGAAGGAGCGTGCAACGCTCAACACGAATATTACGCAGGCGATCAACGAGGCTGCGCAGGACTGGGGTGTTGTTTGTCTTCGATATGAAATCCGAGATATCCATGCCCCCGACGGCGTGGTTGCCGCTATGCACCGCCAAGTCACCGCGGAGAGGTCCAAGCGAGCCGAAATCCTGGAGTCCGAGGGTCAGAGACAGAGTGCCATTAACATCGCGGAGGGCCGCAAGCAGTCCGTCATCCTTGCCTCCGAGGCCCTTCGGAGCGAGCAGATTAACATGGCCACGGGTGAGGCGGAAGCGATCATGCTCAAGGCCGCTGCAACGGCGAAGGGGATTGATGCTGTGGCCAAAGCCATGCGGGACGGCCAGGAGAATGCCCAGGGTGCCGTCAGTCTGAGCGTTGCCGAGAAATATGTCGAGGCCTTCTCGAAGCTGGCGCGCGAGGGCACCGCTGTTGTTGTTCCTGGGAATGTCGGGGATATTAGTGGTATGATTGCCAGTGCCATGGCCGTCTATGGGAAGGTGAACGAAGGGCAAGTTAAGGCTATGGCTGCAAAAGCGATTGGGGCACGGGAGCAGGGATCACAAGAAGACGGTGGAGAAGGCGAGGAAGGGTCCAAGAAGAGGACGAGGGCCGGGGAGCTGACGCAGAATCACTTCGGAGACACCGCTAAAAACATTCCTGCGCCGCCAGGGGACGTTGCGGATAGTGTGCTTGAGGGATTCGAGCAAACGAGTCAGCGGAGAAAGTCGTGATTTGACTAACTCAAACTGCCACCCATACGCTCGTCGTCCCGTCTATTAGCTTTCAAAACTGAATGTACTGTCCGGATTTCACCGTTATCACCATTTCTCTCTCTCGCCCCCCATTCCTTTCTTGTTTGATCACCCCACTTCGAGTATATCATCAGCCTTTTCATCCCTATTTATTTGCCTCGTTTTTTCCAATTAGGTTCTGAAAAAAGAAAACCAGGGAAGGATTTTTTTGTCTACGCCGCTCAGCATTTTGAAGGAGCCAGTGAATTTGATCCTTTTTAAGTTTTTTTCAGTCGTCTCATTTTATTTCTACTTCTACGTGCGTCGGTTTTTCCACAGGGCATCCGGCCAGCAGAACAAAAGGAGGGGAGGTCAAGAGTGTACTTGTATTCTAACTATCGTGTGTGTAAATATACCAACTGTTAAATCTCTCTATTTTCTCTCTATTTATCTCTCTATTTATTATAGAAAAACCAACTTTTCAATGCAAAAATCGCTGTAGGATGACATCACATGCACCTCATCAAAAATATTTGAGCTCCAGCTCATAAAGCTCAGATCAATCTTCAAATCTTCAATCTTTTTTTCATTCTGCTCTTTTCATACATTCTCTACAGTATTTACATTCCTTATACTCTTCTCTATGTTCATTTTTTGATCTCTGTGTTCATGGCATACACTGCTAAATGCTATGTAACATGATCTCATGTGATAACATGTGCATCTCTTTGAATTCATGGATGGGATTGAACAGCTGGCTCTGCAGCCTGTATGACTCTGATTAATCTGATAGGGGTGATAGGGGTGATACGGGGTGGAAGAGGGTGGTAGGGGTGGTAGAGGTAGTGGTGGCGGTAGAGAGGGTAGAGAGCAGAAGAGATGATAGAAGTGGTAAGAGAGAGGTGGAAGTAGAGAGTGGAAGTGATAGGGGGGCTGCGGTGCGGTAGAGGCGGTGGTAGGGTAGAGGGGATAGGGGTAGAGGGTGGAAATGATAGAGGGGGGTGCGCAAGCAGCAAAGCGAGCGTAAGCGAGCGTTTGATGCTTGTAACTAATAAAAAAAACAATGGATAAATTAAAATGCAGCTACACAGTCCGATTGTTATAACTTATATCAAAGATCAGCCATCCATGCAATACATGGCATGGTCGACCAGGCTCCTCTTCCCCAGACTCAAAGCAGCTCGGCCAAACTCTGTTCCTTGAAATTGGCACCACGCCGCAGAAAACGCGGAACCAAGCAGGCAACGCCCGCGCCAACTCCCCCAAAACCTCTCACTCAACGACACCTTCAACGATCACCAACCACCACAACCACTCCGGCCACGTTAGCACCGGCATCAACACAACACGACACAACCTCCCGCTACTCACAGCTAGGAGGACGAAAGATTGACCAACCCGACTGTGTTCCCCTTCGTCTCGCCCCGTCCTTCGCATTCTGCTCGTCCACTCATTCATGTATTTATTGGATAGGGAGGACACAACTGATTATTCCATACACTCCGCTCTCCCCGCGGCTGGACCCCTCGAAGAACCTCGATTCTCCTCCGGCAAAGTATTCCCGCGCTACCATTAAAGCTCTGAGATGCTCGAGTCCTCTGCGCCCTGTTTTCATACCGTATTCCACTCACCCACACCCGCACCCGCACCTGCACCTGCACCTGCATTCGCGCAAGCCCAGTAGCCAAGAAAAGAGTTAAATCGCAAAGGCACGCATAGAGCGAGGAGGAGACGACGGCACGGGGCGGATAGTAGCCAGAGCGACGTCGAGAGGGAAATAGGAAACGCGCAAAGGGGGAAAGCTCGGGAAAGGAGACGAGGAGAAGGAAAAAGTGAGATTGGGCAATAGAGACAGGGCAGAGGAGCAAAAGGGAAGATGCATATTATCAAGCCTGTTTGGCTGACGCATGGGGGTATGTGCTCTTTTTTTCACTGTTTACTACGTGCCTATTTGTATCCGCGCTGGCGGGGACAATGTATTCCTTTTTACTTCCTTCGATTGCTAAGTTTGCTAACCTAATGGTGCTCTGTTATACTATAGGTGAACGGAAAGATTTCGAGGTCTACAGCTGCGATGTTTCGCCGGATGGGAAGAGACTTGTTACAGCTGCTGGAGGTGAGCGCTCGATTTTTGGTTGCGATGCATGCATATATACATAAACCACTTTCTCTTCGTTTTTCCGACACCAAGTCCCCTGCGGACATGCCCTGACCTGTGTGAATGGGATTTTTGAGGGATTTACACTCAGGATAATGGCTTGGTGTCTTATCTCTAACTCAAGAATTGCATAGATGGCCATGTTCGTATCTGGTCAACAGACGCAATCTACAATGTCGCTGACCCTGCCTCTGCGAAAAAACCACGCCAGCTGGCATCCATGAGTAATCATTCCGGGACCATTCATGCCGTGCGATTCTCGCCAAATGGCAGATACGTTGCGTCTGGGGCGGATGATAAGATTGTTTGTATCTATGTGCTAGAATCAAATCCGCCATCGCATGCGTCGAGCTTTGGTAAGGGTGCTTTTATCTATCTGAAACTACAACAACAAACGCGCTATTATTTGTGTTTTTGTACTTCTCCTCTTTTCTATTTCTGAACTTAGATATTAATGTATTTTTTGTTAGGCACAAATGAACCGCCTCCAGTTGAGAACTGGCGAACAATACGCAGATTGATCGGTCACGATAACGATGTCCAAGATCTTGGCTGGTCGTATGATTCTTCCATTCTTGTCTCCGTTGGCTTGGACTCGAAGGTTGTGGTATGGTCAGGCCATACCTTTGAGAAGTTGAAGACGATCTCCAACCACCAGAGTCACGTCAAAGGCATTACCTTTGATCCGGCGAACAAGTACTTTGCTACAGCAGGTGATGATAGGACTGTGCGGATATTCCGCTTCACACCACCAACCCCGAACTCAACGGCCCACGATCAGATGAATAACTTCGTTCTGGAGCAAACGATATCCGCGCCGTTTGTCAACTCGCCCCTTACTACGTATTTTAGGAGATGTTCTTGGTCGCCGGACGGTAACCATATCGCTGCTGCCAATGCTGTTAATGGACCCGTCAGCTCCGTCGCGATAGTTAACCGTGGATCTTGGGATGGGGATATCAATTTAATCGGCCATGAGGGCCCTATTGAAGTTTGCGCGTTTTCACCTCGGTTATACGATTCACAGCCTACCAGTAGACCCCCTGTTGATAAACAGGGCCATCCGATGCATTCGCTGGTTACCGTCATTGCCTGCGCTGGCGCGGATAAATCCCTCAGTATATGGATCACAAGCAACCCACGACCAGTCGTAGTCACACAGGACCTAGCCGCCAAAGCCATCTCAGACCTGTCTTGGTCGCCAGATGGCAAATCGTTATTTGTGACAGCTCTGGACGGTACGATCCTTTGTGTCCGATTTGAAAACAACGAACTGGGAAAGCCTATGCCCTTAGAAGAGAATGAAAAGTCACTTACGAAATTCGGCACGAATAGAAGGGGTGCTGGCATCGTCGAGTCTACTAATGGCTTGTTACTAGAGGAAAAGAGCAAGGCTGGTGAGATTAAGGGAGTCGAAGGCCGTATGGGTGCTTTGATGGGAGATGGCCATGTTTCTACTGATCGGGGTGCCAATAGCGCGTCGGTCAATCTGCCTTCTAATGCGACGACTCCTGCTGGAGCTTCTACGCCAATTGGTGGTGGTACTAACGTTTCCCAGAAAGGCCAACCTAATGGGCCTGTGAACGGGACCAGTGAGGAGCAAGATAAGCCGGACCCGTATGCGGCCAAACTCGAGAGGCTCAAACAAAGACCTACCTATACCAAGGATGGGAAAAAGCGCATTCAACCTCTCCTTGTCTCGGGTGCAGGCGGTGCGGAGTCGTCCCTCCCCCAATCACGGTTGGTGGCTACGGCGATGAACACTAGCGTAAGACCTGACGGCCCGGACTCAATACTAGATCTCTCAAAACCATTTGACGCCCTGCCGAAAGGCGGTCTAGCGGCTCTACTATTTGGGAATAAGCGAAAATTTGCACAGATTGAAGGGGCGGATGAGGAGGTGTCTGTCGAGAAGAGAGTTGCATTGGCTTCGGAAAATGGATCTGTGCCCATTCTGGCAAATGCGACTGAAGGTCTGCGACCTGCGCAGCCTGGAGATGCTCAAGGAGGGCCTCGACCGACTCCAGAGTTTATCAGGCCCGCTGTGGTTAATCCGTGTATGGCGATTAGCCAACTACGGTTAGCTGTGCCAAAGATCAGAAGCCATATTTTGCAAGCGATAGATTCGTCAGGAAACCCTACTACTTTAGCAGATACAACGGCAGCAACGGGGGCGGGGGGGAACTCAGGAGCCCCGCCAAGGCCTAAAGCAGATATCATTTTCGAAGCTCGTAACCCTCCTGCCTCTTCCGGCCGTCATATAGATCGGGAACCAGTACGGATTACTCTTACGCGCGGAGATCAACCACTGTGGCAGGATTTCATCCCAAAAACAGTTCTTCTCGTCACAGGCAACCGCAAATTATGGTCTGCAGCATCGGAGGATGGATCAGTATATATCTGGACGCCAGCAGGACGTCGACTGCTCAATGCTCTGGTCTTGGAGGCCCAACCTGTGATTCTGGAATGTAACGGGCCATGGGTTCTCTGCATAAATGCGGTGGGCATGTGCTACGTGTGGAACGTGACTACGTTGTCCTCTCCTCACCCACCAATCTCCCTCGCTCCAATCCTGGACGCAGCAGTTCACACCCTAGGCCCCAACGCTACCCCTGCACCCGCAATTAATGCTGCTCGATTAAACTCCGAAGGTCGCATAATCGTCACACTCTCCAACGGAGACGGCTACAGCTACTCCCCTGCCCTATATACCTGGCAAAGGATGTCCGAGGGCTGGTGGGCCGTTGGCAGCCAGTACTGGAACACTAAAGACTCGTCCATCGGGAACCTGCAGTCTATCTCCGCTTCTTCTCCCTCATCTGCTGCTGCGATTGCTCCTAGTAGTCGACAGGACGGTGAAACTCGAACAACACCGGTGTCAGCAGGCGTGATCCCCTTCCTCGAACGTAACACCACAGACGAGGCACTCGTGCGAGGTCGTGGGTTCTTCCTACAGCGTTTGATTAAGGCACTTCTCTCCCGCGAGGGATTCGAGGGCTTTGAGGCTGGCGTCTCTGTTGCCCATCTAGAAAACCGTGTTGCCGCCGCACTCGCCCTTGGCGCCAAGGAGGAGTTCCGCCTTTATCTTTCCATGTATGCAAAACGGCTCGGGGCTGAGGGAGCGAAAATGAAAGCGGAAGAGTTACTGGAAGGGCTTCTTGGCGGCATTTTTGAGGATTGCGCGAATGAGGTTGATGAGGATAGCTGTTATACTAACGGTGTTGCGAGGAGGATGGAGGGAGGAGCGGTGAAGTCTAAGGAGTTATCATTAGCTCAGGGTAGTAAGGAAGAATCCGGACCTGGTACCTGGGGCAACGGTTCGGATAAGCTTTGCGGATGGCCAAGGAGGACGCTGTTGAACGAGGTTGTCTTAGCTTTAGGTGCGCCTTTTATTTCCCCCCTTTTCTTGCCTTTTTATTATTTCTTTGTTGTCAAACATTTTTATCCTTTTATCTGATTATTAAATCTGCTATAGGTAAGCATCGAGACCTTCAACGTGTCACCGTCCCGTATGCCCAACTTCTTGGGATTCTGGATGGCGATCAGGATCAAGAAGGAGATCAGACCCAGGATCAAGATCAGGACATGGATCGAAGTGGGGAAGATGTGATGGTCACGTAACGTATTCATTTGCGTCAAATCTCCTTTTCCTCTTTTCCTTTGCTTTTTTTGGCGTTTCATCTACAACTCGGACAGTAGCTCAAATCTTTTATGGGGTTGGTGGAATATTTTGCTGTGGCTCTTCCTTTTTTTTCCCGCACTCTGATTCCCGCTTTTGTTCATGTTTATTTTATAC